GTGCACACGCGCAGGGCCACACGCGGCCCCCACCGTGGAGCCCTGAGCGCGGGCCTCATCTTCCTGTGCCTCGCGACCTCAGCACCTGTCTCAGGGTTGTTGTGAGGCTCAAATAAAACGTCAGTCAGCACGTGGGAGATTCTGGCCTATTCCTCCACTAGGTGGCAGCCTCGCTCTTCTGTCCAGTCTTCAGGACGCTTCCACGGCCGCCCTGCGGGAAGACTCCCGGCTGCAGCCCCACGAAAGGCGAGGGGAAAAGAGCAAACACTTCCCACCCCACTGGGACCCCTACGGGTGACTGAGTCAGTTCCCCTCAAGGAGAGGACCTGGGGGAAGGCTTGCCGTGGATTGTACAACCGAGCCAGAATTGGTGCTCCTCCCCTCGGCTCCCACAAAAGCAGCAGGAGCCGGCAGTGTGCGTGACGTAGAAGTGTTTGTCTTGGCAGCACATTGGAACCACCTGGCCTGCTTAAAAAAAAAAAAACCCAACGCTGACACCAGAGAGCCTGACATGATGGGTGTGGCATGACCTGGCATCTGGCTGTCGAAAGCGCCACCGTTGGTCTAACGTGCAGCCAAGGCTGAGAACCACTAGGGCAGGTGGCCTCAACTTCCACACCCCTGACATTTTGGGCTGGAGAATTCTTTGCTGTGAGTGCCGTCCTGCGCACTGTAGGATGGCTTCTGGGAGACAAAAATCGCCCCTCCTGGAGCCTGGCTTTGGAGGGTAGCAACCCCGAAATTGCAGTCCTGACTGCTATGTGACTTTCGGCAGGCTCCTCACCTACCTGGGCACACCTGGGCCTCTGTGTCCTCCTGGGCAAAAGGGGAGTCATCCTACCTTCCTGGATTGTTGGGAGAATATGGAGGGCAACAGGAGCTCGGTGGCTCATGCGAGTTAGGTGCTCAGTACATAGTACTCCCCTTTTCTCTGTAATCCAAATGCAATGGAGTTTTCTTAGAATTCTAATGGCGATGCCAATTTAGAGCAACACTTGAAGTTGTTTAAAAAAGGGCCTAAGCTCGCTTTTTTTTTTTTTGAGACAGGGTCTCACTCTGTCACTCAGGCTGGAATGGGGCGGTGCGATCTCGGCTCACGGCATCCTCTGCCTCCCGGGTTCATGCGATTCTCCTGCTTCAGTCTTCTGAGTAACTGGGACTACAGATGCTCCACCATGCCTGGCTAATTTTTATATTTTTTTGGTAGAGACAGGGTTTTGGTTATTGGCTAAGCTGGTCTCTAACTCCTGGCCTCAAGAGATCCTCTGCTTTACCCTCCCAAAGTGCTGGTATTACAGACATGAGCCACCACACCTGGCCTAGGAAGGACCTAAGATCTTTTTAAAGTCAAAGTTATTCCTCTCAAAAAAGAGGACAGAATCCCTTCATCAACTCCACTGATCACCAGCATCTGTCCCTGTGAGCTCCCTGTCCGTGACTGCCACGCAGGCTCTGACCCATCCCTGCTTCGTTCTTGGCCAAGAGCCTAGTGTAGTGACGTTTCACTTCAGCTTGTCATTGGGGTCAAGGAGGAGGATATTTTTAAGATTTCAGAAGCCCAGAGGCACTGACTGATTAAATCAGAATCTCTGGAGAACTGGAGAAAGAGCCATGTGTTGGGGTTTTTTTTTTTTTTTTTTTTTTGATGGAGTCTCGTTCTGTTGGCCAGGCTGCAGTGCAGTGGCACGATCTCAGCTCACTGGAACCTCCATCTCCCGAGTTTAACAATTCTCCTGTCTCAGCCTCCTGAGCAGCTGAGATTACAGGAGTATACCACCACACCCAGCTAATTTTTAGTAGAGACAAGGTTTTGCCATGTTGACCAGGCTGGTCTTGAACTCCCTGACCTCAGGTGATCTGTCTACCTTGGCCTCCCAAAGTGCTGGGATGATAGGCATGAGCCACCACACCCAGCCTCAGTCTCTCTTGCTGCTTTTTTCTTTTTGCAATCTCTAAATCAGCTCTCCTGGGCGTCCTGCTTGCAGACTCACCCTGCACCTGTTGAGACTTACCCACCTCCATCATTGCATGAGCCAATTCCTTATAATCTCTTGAACACACACACAGCTGGTTTGTTCTCTGGAGAAACTCAGTACACTTGATGGAAATGAATGTAGGCATCCCAGTGCTTCCTGCATATGGGGTTCAGAGTTGAGCTCTGCTTACCCAGCATGGAAGCTAGAAGTTGGAGTAGGGGCTACTCAGGTACCCCCACACCCCACAGATGCCTCCAGGGTGCCTATGTAATCTGCCTTGGGCATGCTGTGCATCAGCTTTCCATGTGCCAGTGGTCTGGGCCATCTAGAAGACTCTCTTGGGCTTAGTCAGGTACAGGGGCTTCTCCCTGCTTCACTCCTTGGGCAGCAGGCTGGCTGGCCTCTGGGAAGACAGGTTCACTGAAACCAAAGGGGGTTGAGGCTGTAAATTTCAGGCCACGCACACATAAATGTGTGGTCATTTCCTTTACACAGGCAGTCACCCAACAAAGAGGGAAGGCCTGAGGTCCTAAGGATGAGGAGGTCTGAATCTCCTTCGAGCAGCCTCTGGTGCCTGGCACAGTGCCTGTACACTGAGTGGACACTGCTCAGCAAGTGTGCATTAAGTACACAGGAGCTGGGGAGGCTGTGTCTGTGGGTGTGAAGGGGCTGGGGGGGTCCACCCCCTCCCTGCAGGGCAGAGTTGGAATGAAGTCAGAGGGGAGAGCAGTGATAGTTAAGAGCAGGAGCCTGGCTGCCAGACAGTGCTTGCGTTGAGTTCCAGCTCTGTGGCTTGCTAGATGTATAAAGGTGGACATGTCCCTTAAATTCCAAGCCTCGGTTTTCATCATCTGTAAAATGGGGATGACAGTGGTCTCCACTTCAAAGGATGGTGGTATGGACTGAACGAGACCATACCTGTAAAGCCCTCAGGCCCGTGCTTGGAGGAGCATGGTAGCTGCTCCTGGAAGCCTCTGGGGCCAGATCTAGAGGTCAGGGCACTGGGCTGTGCTGTCCAACCAACCTGCCTCAGTTTCCCTGTAGGCTCCGGTGGGCCCCTTTCAGCTGTAGTGCACACTGATTTCCCCCTGGGAACTGCTGGAGAGAGTTGAGGGAGGAGAGGGGTTGGAATGACACTTGCAGGAGCCCCCTTCCTCAGGGCCCCAAGACTCGGAGTTGCCAAGACGGGAAGTGTCTAAGAGGAACTGGCACTGACTTGGTATTCCCAGAGCAGCTGAACCAAGGCCAGCACCCCAGATCCCTGCTGCAGGCCTGGGATATTTTTTTGGCAGGAGACTAAACTGTCCAAGCCCCCCGTCCCCCTAGGCTGGGGTCCTAAATTAGACAGCACCCCCTACCACCACCACTCCTGCAGGGCCAGGTGCCAGGGATCCCCACAGTTTGTAAATGTAATCAACCTTGGGGTTTCTCACTTCCGCAGGTGCAATTAGCATGCCCATCTGCTAATCCCTGATTAATGGTGTTTACAAACATGGGTCTCCGCTGTAGAGCTGCTCAGCCCCTCCCTCCTGGGGTTGTGAGGCAGGGGTCTTCCCAGCAACATTTCCCCACTTCTTCAGACCTCCTCCGCAGCTAAGATCACTCAGCTTCCCCTTCCCCAGGCATAGACAGAGCTGGAGGTCCCTCCTCCTCCCACCCGAAGCTCGGAGCTCCCTGGCCCGTTCTCGGTGTACCTATGTGGAAGCAGAGAGCAGGGAAAGCAGACAGAGTCGGGGTGGCAAGGCCAGCATTCTACTCGTCCTCGTCCCATCAACTCAGTCTACCAGTGTCTTTCTTCCCAATTCTGAGCTTCAGGGATGCACACTGGGCGCGCTGCCTTTATTCACCACTCAGCTCCAGCCCCGAGGCCACACATACAGCCCCGCTGCAGTAATTCTCGACGGGTTAGACGTCCCATACCAAAGGCAGGGTGTCAGACAGTGCTGAGTCCACATGCGGGCTCTACTTTAGGCGAGTCACTTACCCTGATTGAGCCTCAGTTTCTTAATCTGTAAAATGGAGATAAGCATACTAATGTAGGCTTAAGGTTCATAGGTGAGGGTTAATGATGGGATACATGAAAAAGACTTAGCACAGTGCCTGGGACACGTAGGTGTTCAATAAATGTGAGCTTTTAATTGCAATGATGATGATGATGACATGACGGTGAAAAGAGGAGGCTCTTGAAACTAAAAAAAATGCCCAAGCGCTCCTCCCCCTCCCTCACACAGCTGCCTGGGAGAAGGGCAGGTCCCAGCTCATTACTGGTGGGGGCTGGGTGGGGGAGGTGTCAGATTGGAATCACTCCTGGGTCTGTTTGCAGCTTCCCTGTTTCATTAACACCTCCCTGGTGGTCTTCAGCTCATCCTGCTGGGGGAGGTGCTCCAGAAAGTTCTGACCACCTCCTACCCAGCCCAGAGCTCGGTGGCTCTCGCTTCCGGGCCTGTGCTCCTGGTGACACGGAGGGGGGCATCTTATGCTGGGGAGAGGGGTATCCGCTGACCAGAGGCTGTCATTGTTCCTCTCTCCTGAGGGTCCTGGAAACTTGGTCAGGGGATGAAGCACCTGAAGCGGCTCCTTCCTTTTATCCTCCTCCCTCAACCTCTAACCCGTAGGTTTTCATCCCCCGTCTGCTGGGCATCCCAACGTGGCCACTTTCGTCTCCTTTGGAATCCCCGTGTGAACAGGGCGCAGTCTCGGACTCCAATCCCACCTGTCTCTTGCTAGCTGGATGGCCCAAGGCAAGTCGCTTATCCTCTAGGACATTCAGTGTCTCTTCTGTAAAATGAGGACATCATACCTCACGGGGGGTTAGCACGGTGCCCAGTAAATTGTAAACTCTCAATGATTGGAAAACATTGTTATTTTATGGGCAAAACAACTGCTCTCAGAACCCTCTTTTTAAATCACAGAACCACGTGTAGCCCCTTGGTGGCGGGTGGAAGGGCA